AAAGTTGTTGCTATTTACGAATCAAAAATTTGAATGAATATTCTATTAATAATTTGATTGACTCACTCATTGCCTACAAGCAATGTTTGGATCAAAGACTTTTGGATGCAGGTGAAACAATAATGCTAAAAGCGGAAGACATGGAGAAAAGTGGCTTAGTTGGTGAGGAAAGCAATGACTTAACAAGCAAATTAAAAAGTCCACAAAAGCACAAGCATAAGCATCAACAAAAGTGGAATAAAGGTAAAAATGATAAGAATATTCAAATTTCTTCAAATATAATTTGCTTTGGATGTAGGAAATCTGGACATCTGAAAAGTCAGTGCCCTAATTTGAGAACTCTTCCTGCTAAAGAAAAAGGTAAAGTTAAGCAGATTGTAGAAAGCAAAAATAATGAGAAGCAAAAAATCTCCCGGGCAGATCTAGCTTCTGAATCATCAGACCAGGAGCAAAATGATGTTTAAACTCTTTGTTTATGGTTTTTGTGTGCATGTTTTTTTATTTATTGTATTTTTTTATGTGTTTTTCTATCTTTAATTTTTAGTGTTTTTGTATGATTTTGAAATGTTTTCACATCTGATTCCATGTTTTAGATCGATCGTGCAAATTTTTTCTAAGTAATCTATTTGTACTGGACGAAAATATTTTTGTACTGTACAAATTCTGTAGCAAATTGATAATTGGTTTTGACTGATTGTGTATTTTTAATTTTTCAAATACATATCGTACAGTACGATCTCCTGATCCTCCTGGATGATTTGTATTACTTCTTCTGCACACTATAAATGGCTATACGGGTAAAATGTTGAGAATGAATCTTTTTGTGAGACATTTGGAATGTGATATGAAGATTTTTATAGTTTATGTACTTGGGTTTTGTACTTGTATTGCTTTAGATTTTTTGAATATTTAAGTGATTTTGTTCTGTGTTTAAAATGTTCGTTAGCCTATATGAAAATCCCTAAAAAAATTTTATCTTACAAGTGATATATTTTGAACTGCAACATAAAATTTAATTCATTAGAAAATCTAATTTTTCTAAATTTAAGTTGTGTTATAACTTGATATTATTAAGATTGTCAATTTCATGTCTATCATTTAGACTACATTAACTTTTTATATTATTATTGTAATTATGATATTTTTTTTATTTTGTATTTCACTTATCAAATAATATTTATGAACTTAGAAAAATTTGAAATTTAAAATTATTGATTTTAGAAAGAATTCAATTACTCTTGAAAAATATACAAGTGTATAAAAATAAAAAAAAATGCGCAAAGGTTCGTAATGTGAAAAAGAGGCACAAAATAAGCCCAAATGAAAAGATGCATAAAAATGTGCCATAAATTTAAAAAAGATGCGCAAAGCGCGACATGTGGTAGTTTTTTCTTTCCAAACTCTTTTAATCTCTTAATTCAAATTGATCTTATGTACATTTATATTCCATATTGAAATTTGAAATATAAAATTTTTATATCATCATTTTTACAATGATTTTCTCTATCTTAAATGTCTAAATAAACTCATGTTTTGATAAATTCGTTTTAGTTTCTATGTTATATCTCTTCTTAAATTCTATGAATTTTATGATATGCCTAATGTTTTAATTTTATTTGCATACATTATGTCAATCACTTTAAAGGTTAAATCTTCAAATGATTTTTATATGTCTGCTTATATTTCTAGTCTTTTTCTTCTTCACTTTTGATGTTGTCAAAAAGGGGGAGAAATTGTTTATTATGTTGTGTCTAGTGTTTTTGTTTATTTTTGTGTGTTTATTTTATTTTGTTTTGTGTTGTATAAAATTTTTGAAAAATAAAAATTTTTATATGATTCAATAGCCTCCTTATTTTTATGAGTTCATCAATTCAGGGGGAGTTTAGGAGATTCTTAGAATTTGAAATTATACAAACAATAATTATTTTGCCATCATCAAAAAGTGGAAGATTGTTAGGAAAGTTGCTATTTGCATATGTTACATTCTTGCAACTTGTATAGTTTTGATGATTCCAAATATTATTATTTTATGTGTTGTTATCTCCTAATAATTTTTGGAAGATTTATTTTTGCTCTTGTGTGTACTAATATTTAAGGAAAATTGAACTCCAGACTACGAAGACTTCAAATCAAATTTAGCATGAAATACTTTATAAATTTGAAGCTTGTACTTTTTATTTGAATTAAATTTGAGAGAGAGTGATTGTAATTGAGTGACTAAATTCACACAAACTAAAGGAGATCTTGAAAAAGTTTTGTGCTGATCGTACGGGACGAACATTGTTTAACTTAAAATGAGAGTTATGACCTTACCACCGTGCCATGAGCTATGGATGGATGTTATCCATTTCAATCGCTTGCCTTAATTTTGGTTAAAAACAACCACAAATATGGCGGTAATTGTGAGGAGACTTTTATTATATTAGTTATATTAGAGGTTTATTGTCAAATATCATTCAAGCAAGTTTCTAGATGATATTGAGTGACAAAGGTATTGGAACTTGAAGGTTCACCCACAATGGGAGAATGAGGGTTACAATGATGAGAATATTTGACCACAACTTCTTTCCTGTGAAAACCCGAAAAATGTTGTTTTAGGCCTCGCACGCTTTTCAAAACGCCGCGATGAGTTTTCAGTGAAAATTCTGAAGTTGTCGGATTTCAACGGGAATAATTTTATAAAATAGAGCGTAAAATTCTGATCGTTTTGATGTATATAATCCATATCGGATTTTAAGTATTTTAGAAGTTAAAATTTCCGAAAAGTTTTTAATGATAACTTTACCCCTCATGCCTTTTGAGTAGAGAGGATGTTTAAGTGAGGGTAATTGGGACTTTGGGCATTTTAGTATGAGACCTCCACTCTAAATTTGGGACCAAAACATTTTGGTCCCCCATTCATGCTTGCACACCGAACACAAGAGGAAAAGGGGAGGCCGCGGGTAGGAGGCGACGCCGGCTTTCCTAGGGGTGGTTTCCGGTGACGATTCTCGAGGGAAATTGAAGGGAACTTGTAAGGAAGGCTAAGGTAAGTAGTTTTCTAGTGTTTCCTTTCCTATTCTTTGAGTTTTCTATAAAAGAATGAAATTAAGGTTTTAGGGAAACTTGAGTTTTCTTTAAGGTTCCTTTGAGAAAAGTTTAGTGAAGGGTTAGGGGAAGTTTTTAAACCCTAATGTGAAGTGTTTTCTTGAAAAATATGAAATTTTGGAAATTAGGGTTTTCTTTAAAGTTGGAGTTTTTGGAAGTGCCTTTGCAAATGTTATTTCTAAGGGTCCTAAGAGAGTTTTTAAGAGAAGAAATTGAGTTTTCCTTATAAAATCTTATTTTCCTAATTTTTTTAATTAGTTTAAATCCGAAAATGGAAAATATTTAATTATGATTTAGGTGTAGGGGAGAGTTTGACTTGTTTATTTGAGGGAAATAATGAAAATAGGTTTTCTAAAATTAGGATTTTAGGTAATTCCGAAAATAGAATTATTTTAAATTAATTTAGACTTTGGAGAAAGTGTTATTTTGATTAATATTAAGTAATTAGACAAAATTATGAATTTTTATATTATGATATGCTTTATGTGATCTTTTGGAGAGAGGGAGAGGAAGAACTTAGGGTAGGTTTTGAATAGAATGAGAACATTAATTTAGATTTATTATAAATGGTTTTGAAAGTGAAATTATCTCTTTTAGGTGTTTTGAAGAAATCTCGAAGGAAGAAGAATTAGCGAGGAGAAATCAATTTTCTAATTTTCAGGTAAGTATACATGATTCTTTATTACGGCAATACTTTTGTTTCTCTCCTGTTCTATATTTTGAAAGTCCCAACATGTTCATGCAATCTTTATGATTAATTTTAGATCATGATTTTACTACTCTGTTCAAATGATTGATCAAAGTTTATGTTTTTTTTTTTTGATATTATATGATAGAGATTATGTAAATTATGAAATGAAAATAAATGATATGATATGAATGTTATATTGAATGATTGAATGTGTATGCTGATTAGATGGAGTTTACCCCCTTATGATACTAGCTGGGGACGCTACTCGTGCACGATAAAATGGTAAAGGATATGGAAAAGAAAAATGGTAAAGGAGTACCTTTATGGTACTAGACGGTGACTCCTGTGACGATTGTATTATATACGAAAAGAGAAAGTTAAGTATAATGATATGAATATGGAAAGAAAAATGAAAGATATGGTTTATGATATGATATGTTTAATGCTATGTTAGTATGAAATCATTTTATGTTATGTTCATATGAAATTGACATCCAGCATCTTATACAGTTGCCTTGTTTACTGTAGTTTAGAATTGTGTATTACTTACCGAGCTTTAGCTTAATGTTACTTTTTAACATTTTCAGATAAGCTTAAATTAATCAAATGAGTAGAATGGGCGGCAATGTTTATCGTAGGAGAGGAGCTCCAGAAGAAAGGTAATTATGAATTTATTGAGGTTTATGTTTATGTGTTTTCAATTTGATGTTTTAGAAGCTCTTTCAAATTATTATAGAAATAGATTTAGAGATTAGATAATTTAACCTACCGTCTGACCTTTGTTCCCGCCTCACCTGCGCGAGCTCATCGGGCCGGGTCGTGACAAGAGTGGTATCAGAGCAAAGGGTTTAAGATTATTGATCAATATGAAAGAGCCAATAAGATGATTCTCTGTGTTAGTTAAGGTATAGTGTGTGTGTGTGTTATAGACTAATGATCGTATATACTAGAGTTGATATAAGGTGCTTGTGCTATTTATTGCTTAGATAGTTTCGTTGCATTATGTCTCAGGGCTGAGAACCTGAACCTGATGCCACTGATGGCAACACTGGAGAGGTCAGGAGGGAATTGCCATCAGTAGTGGAGCCTTAAGGCAGTAGCATTAATGCTACTTTGAATTCTTTCACCCAAATGATGGTGGCTATGACACAGATGATAAAGAATACTCAGACTCAAGCTGAAGGTAGTGGAAGCACTGCGATGGATAAGAATTTAAAGTTATTCCAAGATATGAAGCCACCATCATTTGTGGGAGGTGGAGTTATAGAGGCGGAGGATTGGTTAATGAAGGTTGAGAAGATTTTGGAAGGAATGTTATGCCCTCATGATAGAAGAGTTACTTTAGCAGCATATGCCTTCAATGGGGAAGCAGAAAGATGGTGGAGAAGTCAGTTAGAAGAAACTTTTGGTGGGAGATCTAGCAGCCAAGTGACATGGGATGAGTTTGTTAAGGTGTTTAGGGATTGGTATGTACCAATGAATGCTATGAGGTCAATGCAAGACAAATTTATGAGATTGGTGCAAGGTGACAGAACTATTAAGCAATATGAGGCTGATTTCACTATGCTTTCTAGGTATGCCTCTCATCTAATTCCTAATGCATAAGAGAAATGTCACTACTTCCTTTGTGGCTTGAGGGATAGCATTAGACAGCCATTGGTTCTCTTGGGTATTGAAGATTACTCTACTTTAGTTGAGAGAGCACGGAAGATTGAGCTGGATTTGCAGAGTACTCAGAGGAGAAGAGATTTTCAGAAAAGGAAGAATTCTGAAGAGGATATTCAAAGCAACCAGACTGAGGGATCAAATGGGAAGAAGCCCAAGTTCAGTTCTAGTGGAGACAGTGGTGCAACTGTAAGTAAAGTCACTGAACCTTGTGCTAAGTGTGGCAGATTACATAAAGGTGAATGTTTGATTGGTTCCAACACTTGCTATTGGTGTCATCAGCCTGGACACATAGCAAAATATTGTCCTGCTTTGGCTCAAAAGACTTCATGAGGAATGAGATCAGTTGAAGCACCTTCATAGAGGAATTATGAAAAACCAAAGATGATAGAACCATTAGCTGCGGGTTCAGTGCAAAATCAATCCAGGCAGAATGTCAGACCACGAGTTTACACATTGACTCAGCAAGAGCCTAATGGATCTGTAGATGCTGACAAAGAAAATTGAGATGACTTTATAGTTTATTTTTAGTAACTTGTAATGATAAATTTGATATTTTGGATTTATTAGTTTATCTCATTATGCCATGTCAGATGTTTTGAGATTGATCAGATTATTTTGCTAAGATATTTCAGATGTTTAGTTTGTTCTATTTCAATTTTGAGGTTTATGTTAATGAAATGGAAGCTGTTCAGTTATTTTGCAACTAGAAGTTATGTAAATTTCGGGGACGAAATTTTTATTAGGAGGGAAGATTGTGAAAAACCGAAAAATGCTGTTTTAGGCCTCGCACGCTTTTCAAAGCGCCGCCCCGAGTTTTAAGTAAAAATTTTGAAGTTGTCGGATTTTGGACGGGAATAATTTTATAAAATAGAGCGTAAAATTCTGATCGTTTTGATGTATAGAATCCATATCAGATTTTAAGTATTTTAGGAGTTAAAATTTTCGGAAAGTTTTTAATAACAACTTTACCCCTCATACCTTTTGAGTAGAGAGGATGTTTAAGTGAGGGTAATTGGGACTTTGGGCATTTTAGTATGAGACCTCCACTCTAAATAGGGGACCGAAACATTTCGGTCCCCCATTCATGCTTGCTGACTGAACACGAGAGGAGAAGGGGAGGCCGCGGGTAGGAGGCGACGCCGGCTTTCCTAGGGGTGGTTTCCGGCGACGATTCTCGAGGGAAATTGAAGGGAACTTGTAAAGAACGCTAAGGTAAGTAGTTTGCTAGTGTTTCCTTTCCTCTTCCTTGAGTTTTCTCTAAAAGAATGAAATTAGGGTTTTAAAGAAACTTGAGTTTTCTTTAAAATTCCTTTGAGAAAAGTTTAGTGAAGGGTTAGGGGAAGTTTTTAAACCCTAATATGAAGTGTTTTCTTGAAAAATATGAAATTTTGGAAATTAGGGTTTTCTCTAAAGTTGGAGTTTTTGGAAGTGCCTTTGCAAATGTTATTCCTAAGGGTCCTAAGAGAGTTTTTAAGAGAAGAAATTGAGTTTTCCTTATAAAATCTTATTTTCCTAATTTTTTTTAATTAGTTTAAATCCGAAAATGAAAAATATTTAATTATGATTTAGGTGTAGGGGAGAGTTTGACATGTTTATTTGAGGGAAATAATGAAAATAGGTTTTCTAAAATTAGGGTTTTAGGTAAATCCAAAAATAGAATTATTTTAAATTAATTTAGACTTTGGAGAAAGTGTTATTTTGATTAATATTAAGTAATTAGACAAAATTATGAATTTTTAGATTATGATATGTTTTATGTGATCTTTTGGAGAGAGGAGAGGAAGAATTTAGGGTAGATTTTGAATAGAATGAGAACATTAATTTAGATTTATTATAAATGGTTTTGAAAGTGAAATTATCTCTTTTAGGTGTTTTGAAGAAATCTCGAAGGAAGAAAAATTAGCGAGGAGAAATCAATTTTCTAATTTTCAGATAAGTATACATGATTCTTTATTACGGCAATACTTTTGTTTCTCTCCTGTTCTATGTTTTGAAAGTCCCAACATGTTCATGCAATCTTTATGATTAATTTTAGATCATGATTTTACTGCTCTGTTCAAATGATTGATCATGCAAAGTTTATGTTATTTTTTTATGATATTATATGATAGAGATTATGTAAATTATGAAATAAAAAGAAATGATATGATATGAATGTTATATTGATTGATTGAATGTGTATGCTATTATATGGAGTTCACCCCCTTATGGTACTAGCTGGGGACGCTGTGCTCGTGCACGATAAAATGGTAAATGATATGGAAAAGAAAAATGGTAAAGGAGTACATTTATGGTACTAGATGTGACTCCTGTGACGGTTGTATTATATATGAAAAGAGAAAGTTAAGTATAATGATATGAATATGGAAAGGAAAATGAAAGATATGGTTTATGATATGATATGTTTAATGCTATGTTAGTATGAAATCATTTTATGTTATGTTCATATGAAATTGACATCCAGCATATTACACAGTTGCCTTGTTTACTGTAGTTTAGAATTGTGTATTACTTACTGAGCTTTAGCTTAATGTTAGTTGTTAACATTTTCAGGTAAGCTTAAATTAATCAAATGAGTAGAAGGAGCGGCAATATTTATCGTAGGGGAGGAGCTCTAGAAGAAAGGTAATTATGAATTTATTGAGGTTTATGTTTATGTGTTTCCAATTTGATGTTTTAGATGCTCTTTCAAATTATTATGGAAATAGATATAGAGATTAGATAATTTAACCTACCGTCCGACCTTTGTTCCCGCCTCGCCTGCGTGAGCTCACCGGGCCGGGTCGTGACATTTCCTCAATGTAAAAGATGGTATTTTTAATGAAAAATTTTCCACATACGATGCAAAAGGAAAATTATTGGCCAAAAAAACTCATCAATTTAAAATGGCAACGAGGAGTACGCATGCCATTGGTTCGAATGAAAAGATGTGAAATCACCATCTTACACTATTTACTCGATGAGGAAGGCAACCAGATTCCACACAATTGAACTCAATCAAAAAATAGTGGAGAGAGAGAGAGAGAGAGAGAGAGAGAGAGATTTTATATTGGTTAAACCAAGATGACCTACATCTACTATATTGTTGGTAGAATGATTAATGATGAACAACTAAAAATTATGGGCAATATGTGACTTTCAAACACCGAGTCATTTGGCTAAGAAACATGACCTCAATTAACAAGCCATCATTCCAAGATTTATTTCTCCTAATATTAATTCTTGAAATTATTCCTAATTTTGTTTACTTAAATTGTTGGAATAAAGTCTAAGATAATAATGAGATTGACATTGATTTAAATAAAATTACTTAATCTAATCAAATTAATTTTCTAATTTAAATTTTGTCTTATCAGTATCATTTATTCCATAAGATTAGTTATTTTTTACTCTAGTATTTGATCACTCGTTTAGGAAAATTTCTTTGGCTAAAAAATATTAATAGTCTTGAAAAATAATAAAAATAAATCATTTAAAATGTAAATGCATTATATTTTGAAATAATTGAGTGTACATAATAGATATTTTTTTATTAATAGTTTTTTTTAATCAACTCTCTTAAAAAACTTGAAGAAAATTTACAACAATAAATTCACTTTATTTTTATCAAAGAAATATGTTTAATAAAAAAAATATTTTAAATTTAATTATTCTATTTTTTTTTTCTTCTCCTTTATATTTTTCACATTTCTAATTCCTCCAAATTCCTTGTACAATAAAACTGACGGGTAGCCTTTCTGGTCCATTTGACCCGGCTCAGAGCCCATAGGTGCCAGCCAGTACCGAATTCTGCCCGATAATTTCTGGGCAGGGCCGGCCGGCTCTGAGAGCCGTCAACGGGATAGGAACTTAAAAGCCCGACCCGACCCGGCTTTGCGATAGCACCGCTAGGGATTCTTCGCGGCATTGGCGAGCTTCTCACCCCTTCCTCCTTCACTGCCGCCGTTGAGCGGCGGCGAATCTCTTTCCAGCCAGTGCTGGTTTGGTTCTCATCTATCCATTTCTTTCTTGATCTCTCTTATCGAGAGATTTCTATTGGAGATACGTTACTGATCTTCTTAGACCAGTCACTGGCAGAGGTGACCTTCTCTCTTTAGTTTTGGCAAGTTTTCTGAGTTTAATAACCTAGGATTTACTAATTGGATGGTAAATGAATCGGTTTTCTAGATGCCTTAGATTAAGAAATAGCTTATGGAGGATGTTGCATGTATCTTGGCTGAGACATTATAGGCGCATCATTACCCTTTTTTCATTCTTGATGTATTAGTTTGATCTTCTAAAACATTGTAACAGAAAAAAGTTGATATGGTTCTTCCGAAGTAATAGGTTTGATGGTTTATTTTTTAGTGCTAATTTCGACGCATGATGCTTTTTTTTCTTTAATAAGTGCGTTTGTATAAAGATGTTATTGTGCAAAAGGCGCAATTTACTATTCACATTAGTAACTAATTAGATATATATCAAGCAGCTTTATTAAAGTTTAATTGAAGTTTTTTTTTCTTTTGTTTTTTGTTTTTTTATTGTATTGGATTTAGTTGTTGCGTGTATTTTTCCTCAAGGAAAATCAATGATGATTAGCTTGAGTTTGATCAAAGTTCTTAGTTATTATTGTAGAGTTTAAGGTTAGGATGAATTGATTGAGGGTGCATATTCATTGATTCCCATTATTTAAGATCTTTGCTGAATTCATTTGTAGGGATAAATAATAAATACTACGTAACGCAAAACCTCAGTCTGTATTAGTGGTTAATTTGCTGCTGATGTCATGATTTTGATTGATAGCAAATTATTAAGCTAAAAAAGGTTTAAATTTAATGTTGTTATTGACTTGGATCAACTTGATACTTGTAGTTTTCTCATGGAAGGAGCAATCGTACCTAGAGTTGAGGATGAGTTCATTGAGTATGTTCCACAAAAGAAAAGGAGGGGGAGGGCAACTTCAATAGTTTGGGAACACTTTGATAAGCTTAAAGATGAAGTAGAAAATGTATGGAAGACTCAATGCAAGCATTGCAAGCAAATATATTCAAGTGCTCAAAAAAATGGCACCTCTCATTTAAAGCGCCATATGGATAGGTGCCCTATAATCAGGGCATCTGGTTTGACATTGCCAATGATGAGTACACCAGCAGTGAGTGATGGACTCATTGGATATGAATCAAGCCATAAGCGGTCAAGATCTATTTCAAAAGTTTGGGAAGATTTTGAGAAGCTCAAAGCCGAAAGAGATGACATTTTGAAGGCTCGGTGCATACATTGCAAACAAATTCTTTCAGGGGCTTCTAAGCATGGTACTTCTCATTTAAAGCGCCACCTTGAGAGGTGTCCGAAACGTAGAAATCATGAAGTTAGGCAACTCTTGTTGTCAAGTGAAGTTCGAAGCATAAAGCAACTTTTTTCATCAAATGAAGCACTTGCTGATGGTGGCACATCATTGAAGAAGTGTGCAATAGACCAAAATGAAATATTGAAAGCAATTTCAGCTTTCATTTTATGTGGACAGCATTCAGTAACAGTTGTTGAAGAACTTGGTTTTAGGCATATGATGGGTATAGTTTGTCCTGAATTTGAAAATGTTAACTCGCATTGCATTAGAAGGGAGATTTTATCTAGTTATCTGAAGGAGAGGGATGGTGTGAAGGAGCTTTTAGGAAGAATACCCGGTAGAATTTGCTTAACTTGTGAGAATTGGAGTTCTGAGTATAGCAAGGATGGATATATGTGCATCACTGCTCATTTTATTGATAACGATTGGAAACTGGTGAAAAAGATTATTCATTTTAAACCTTTAGTAACCCCTGTTGTTGGAATATTGAATGCTGATGAGATAGCACTATGTTTAAGTATGTGGAACATTGACACTAAAATTTTCAGTATTACTTCAAGCAATGCCTCATACGATGACAGCTTTGTTAACTCACTTAAAGGTTGTCTTTTAGCTAAGAAAAATCTTTTAATTGGTGGTGCCTTCTTTCAAGTTCGAAGTTGCAGCCAAATCCTAAATCTTATTATAAAAGCTACTCTAAACCTTGTTGATGATGTTGTTGATAAAATTCGTAGTGGAGTAGAGCATATCAGAAAATTTACATCAAGAAAGAAAAAGTTTTATCTGATTGCTTCGAAAGACTTCCAGTTAGACACTACGAAGAGACTGCGCCCGGATGTGTGTTTTAAATGGAATACTACGTATTTGATGCTTGAACGTGCTCTATATTATAAAAGCATGTTACAATATTGGGGAGAGCATGATAGTAGTTTCATTTATTATAATCTTTCTGCTGAAGAGTGGGAAAAGGTGGCAATTATTCAAAAATTTTTAGCAGTGTTTTATGATGTGGAGTGTACATTTTCTGCTACTAAACATCCAACTTCCAACCTTTATTTTAGGGCATTGTGGAAGGTTCATATGCATCTCTTGAAATCAGTAAGAGGTTCATTTACTTTCGTGACTAGAATGGTTGCAGATATGCAAGAGAAGTTCGAAAAATATTGGATCAAACATAACTTAATTTTGTCATGTGCGGCGGTTTTGGATCCCCGTTACAAGGTGAAGTTTGTAGAGTTTTGCTATACAAAAATATATGGCGATAAGGCTGAGGAGTCTGTCAACACCACTGTTAGAACTCTGTATGGTTTATTTGATGAATACAAGCCAAATTCTGTGATAAGTTCCTCGGGCTCCCGGACCTCTGCAGTTCCTGTAGTTGCAGAACATGATAATGCAGATGGTGATGAATTTGAAGATTATGAACAGTTTTTGAGTAGGAAATCTAGGCCTCAAGAGGAGAAGTCTCAATTGGATCTGTACCTAGAAGAGCCAGGTCATGACTTAAACAGTGATATTAATGTCTTGGAATATTGGAATAATAGTTCAATGCGATATCCTGAGCTTGCAATGATGGCCCGTGACATCCTGACAATACCATTATCCTCTGTTTCGCCAGAGGCTAGCTTCAGTATTGGAAAGAGGGTGCTACATCTTAGCCAAAGTTCACTTAATCCAAAGATCATCCAAGCTTTAGTTTGTCTTTCAGATTGGACTTATCAAGCTTTAGGTAATCTTTGTAATCTTGTTACAGTTTATATGATGGTTTTAAGCTTAAAATACTAATGTTGAACCGTTCTGGCTTCTTTACACTCTCTGTAGAGAAATCATCGAGCGATAGTTTGTCAATCATTCATGAAAATGGCGATCCCAGTGCTAGTGATGAAGAGAATGACTTAGATGACTGGGACATCGACGAGGGCACCTTTTCTTAGGTATATTGCTTTGTTTCCTTTTGCAGTTCCCTGCTATTGCCATTTTACATTCTTTTACTGTTTTCCCACGACTTAGCAATTGTCCGTATGCTAGTTTCAGAGATTTGCACACAGGTAGAGAACACAAATACAAGTTTTTATGGATGTATTGGTGACTACATGTTTACAAGAATTTCTAGTGAGCAAAAATAGTTGCAAATAGTTACCGAACGAGTTGTTGCCTTCTTATATCTACCGTAATGCCATGCTTAAGGGGAGAGAACAAGGAAAACAGAAAGAGATAGCTAGGTTGTGAGTTAGAAGGGCATACCTAGACACAGATAGAGAGATGATAGCTTATAAGTTGATAACTAATTATGGTGATTTTGAAGAGATTTATGTGGTTGTTGTAACTTCAACTATTATATGGTAGCTGCCAATTTGTCTAACTGTCAGAGTGTGTGCTACCACTTATGATGTGCTCAAAACCTTTGTGTTGGTCTGCACTGAAGATGTGCATGTAGAGTATGTTGATATTCCTCAAAGGAGAAAACCATCCGTGTTGTGGGTAGAAACCTTGATGGTGTGTTGCAGTTTGGGAACAAAAAAAGAAGGTATGCTTTTGATTTGATGTAATGTGTAACCTTCGTCTGAGTGCCAGGGTGTAAATAGTTGTGTGCATGTGTGTATTGTACATATGTATGTAGGGACTTATGTTCATAAGCTGTGTTTTTTTAATTATTGTTGAATTAAAGGTTTGTTCTTGTTGAATAAAGGGTTGGGATTATTTGATAGTGGTGTCTCAGTGTCTCTTAGTGCCTATGTATTTATATATTGAACCTTAATGTGCTTATCATACTAGAATGTTGAATCTAGAGATTTTCATTCTAGCTTACCATACGGGGTTCAGGTTTAGAGCACAAAATTTGGTTGAACTCTTAGCCTTTTGACAAGTGGCATTGGAAAAGAGGTTGGAGACATTTTCATAATGGGTGGAGTTCGGAGTGCACAACAGGATTTTCCTCCTTGTGCAGGAATTATATTCTCTAATATTAAGTGTTACAGAGATGAGTATGCTCGGGTGGATGAGTGACTTAACTCTTAGAGACATGATACGAAATGTGCATATACGTGAAAGGGTTGTAGCAACTCCAGTGGAAGATAAGATTAGTGAGAGTCGTCTTAGATGGTTTGGTCACATAAAATGACGGCCTTAGATTTGACTTATGTTAAGAAAGGTAGAGATAAACCTAAAAATATTTGGCTAAAAAATATTATAAATAATCTTTCTTTATTAGATTTAAATGAGAATTTAACTTTTAACATGGAATAATGTAGAAAAAGGATTCATGTTGCTGACCCCACATAGTGGGATAAATGCTTGTTGTTGTTGTAATAGTAATAGTAGTAGTAGATTGTTTGCTAGTGGTAGGGGCTTTGCAAGACGTCTTGCTGAAGAGATGGCATCCAAGACTCATCTACAAGATGGCATAGCTATAAAAAAAAAAAGTTTGTTTTGTGGATAGCGTTAAGGTAGCGTCAACATGCAAGTGAAAATCTAAAAAGTGTTAAAGTTCTTGAACCAATGTACTTGGTGGAGATAGGAATGCAAAGGAGCTTGAGAACTTAATTGTGATTTAGAGCAGCACTTTAATGCTACTTTTGTTGATGCAGTGACGGTAATGTGCTTGAAATGATCTTTAATGGAGGACTAGGATATTGGATGATATAGTTATAGAGAGACACTTTACTGTTTGGGAGGTGTTGAGAGAAGAAATGCAAATTTAATTCCTTCCTAGCAACTCGGTGTGATTTGCTTCAGATACACTATCTCACCTCAGGTGGATTGGAATGGCGCCAGAGTACATTAAGGAGTTCAGTTCCTTAATGTTGGAGATTCATAACATGACAAAGATAAGATATTCAAATTTCTCTGAAGTTTAAAATCGTGGGCTTAGGTGGAGTTATGGTAGTATAATATGCAAAATCTGTCCGCCTCCGCAACCATGATTGCGGAGGAATCGGCAAATTTGAGAGCCACCAAGGACGCTGAAGTTTCTTCCAATAACACCCAATGGGAGCATAAGGACAAAGCCAAGAAAGGCGCATCAAAGTTGTACAAGCAGCAAGAAGATGGCCAGATAAAGGCTTCAAGTAATATAAAATTATAGAACAGAGCAACTAAGACTTTATATCCCTTTATATGAAAGGGAACTTATCTAATTTAGCATTTCCCAAAGCAAGAACAGTTGAATGCAACAAGTACTCAAGCTTTGAGAAGGGCAAGCAAGAGGAGGCGATTTTTGTGAACTCCTTATAAATATTGTGTGGAGTTTCGGTGGGATTGAGTTGTAATTACCCCCAATTGATGTTTTTGTTGGCGTGCTGGTTAACAACATTTATGTGGTTTCCCATAGCATTAGTTTTGTTGTGATATTGGACAAAGCTGAGGCACACTTAGGCACCTCATAGGCATCGTTTGGGATGGTTTTCTTACTGCTTATCAAAACAGTTTTTTAGTAAAAAAATTTAGGCTTCGTTTGAGACAGCTTTCTTCTTGATTTCTAAAACAACTTTCTAGTAAAAAAATTTCTTCAAAAAATTTTTGAATTTGAAATTTTTGTACTAGAAAGCCGTTTAGAAAGCAGTACAAAAGTTGTTCCAAACGAAGCCTTAATTTTTTACTGAAAAGTTACTTTAAGAAATAATAAGAAAGTCGTCCCAAATGAAATTTAAGACACCTGGAGTTGCCTTGAAGTTGGTGACCAGTGGTGGAAACATTGAGGTCTTGTGGTTGTTACACCTTCAGCATTGGTTTATGTTTGTAGATTCGTATGAGTACACAAGCAAAGCTTACTGCTGTCAGAGTGTGCGATGCTATTTGTTTGGTGCTTGATGGAGAAAGCCATAGGTGGTGTTGCCCTTGTTTCTGTGCAACGTTTTGCACATACAAAAAGCAGTGAGGTTTCATTTTTTTGTATTTGTAACCTTTGTGTGAATGCCAAGGTGTGAATATTTTTGTACTTTTGTTATAGGTGTGCATATGGGGACTTGAGTTAATAAGCCCCAAAGTATTTTTAGTTTTTGGTGAATAATAGATTAGCAGTGTTTAATTGATCGGTGTTTATTAGCCCCTTTGTATTTTTATTGTTTGGTTTGTATGTTTAACTCAGTTTGGGTATCTTGTGAGAAAGCTAAGGCTTCGTTTGGAATAACCTTTTTATTGTTGTTTTAAGAAGCCGTAAGAAAGCCGTCACAAACGAAATCTAAATCTAAAGAACTATGCTTTAATTGCCACATAGGAGCTATTATTCTGTGCGGACACCGGATGGTTCTCCCGTCTGGTTAAGCGCTTGTTACCGAGGGCGGTTATCAAGTTCGGTATCGAGTGCCTTCATTTTTAATGTGATGTGGCACATTTTTATTGGTCTCCAAACACCCTCCGGATTCCGCACAGAATAATAAATCGCCACAGAGTGGGTTAAGGTTCATAGCGAAATTTTTGGTGACCTCTCAACCCTGTGACAATTATCTTTATTGAATAGTAATTGCTAGGAACCGCTCTTCAATTTTGATGCCTACAGGCATATTTTATCTTCTTATTCTTGTTTATTCTGCATCAATGTAGCTCTCCAAGCGATGCAAGGTTGAAGAGGCCAGCAGAACAATAAAAAAAAGGGATCAATGCCCTTTCTGAAACGTCTGTAAATAAATTTTCTGGGCCTTGTGAATTTTAATAACTGTTAATGGACATTCATGTACTTGAATATATAATTGTGTTTGCATCTGCTTAATTTTATGCGTTGAGAAAGAACACTATCCTGTTTTGAGGCCTATTTTACTTCAATATTTTGTCATTTTTTACTTTTACAGGTTTTGTTTTTCAAAAAAATTTCAGTCATATTTACTGGTTTCTGTTCTTCTTCTCCTTACTGCTGTGGAACATCTTATACTATTGAACTTTTGTAAATAGCTTTTTAGCTATCTAGTAGTATGGGCTATTTGGGTACCTCTGGCGGACTTCTTGGGCCGTGTTGATTTGGGCCAGCGCGGGTCTTCGTGGGTTCGTGGGCGGACCAATTACCTATTGGTTGGATTGGGCTTGGGAACGTATGGGGAACAGGATTTGGATGTGCTTTCTCTATGGCTTAATTTAATGGCAATAAATATGGAAAGCTTAAGTTTGGACCTATTTTTAATTATATTTGAGAATAAAAAATTATTATTTTATCTTTTAAGTTATTTGAGTTGAATTAGCTAAAAATACGCTGTCTTTGGTTATGCTGAAGAACTTCAATTTCAATAAATAGATCATAAAAATAACATACTTATGATTCGTTTGGGATAATTGTAATTTTTTATAAAGTTGGTTGAAAAATTTTATAGAGAAAGAAGCTTTTTTTAAAACTGTTTTAGAAAGTAATAAGTAGTATTCAAATAAAATTACGGTTAATATTTGATAAATTAAGCAGCTAAAATATCTCAAATAGATCATAAATATGAATAACATTAATAATTTTATATGTAAAAATATAGATTAAATAATTTTGTACTTATCATATATTGTGTATATAGTTATATGCTTTATTGCATGCTATTATACTCTTTGTGTAATAATAAAAATTGAATATTAAATAACTATATAATTGTGGACTTCGATATTTTACACATAAAAGTTACAGCTATCATTTGTAGTTCAAATAATTTTTTTGGTCTGTTGACAACACTAGGAAATTGTGATTCATGAACCAAAAATTTCATACAAACATGAAGCTTTGGTAGTTCAAGCAAAATTTTAACTAGAGTGCTAATAAAAGTATTTGTCTAATTAAATAATGACCTTCCAATAGAATTGTAGGAGATGTTAAAATTTATATTAAGCTCATTTCCAATAAGTTTTTTTTATTGGTGCATTTGTTTGAATTGTTGGAAATTCTTTTTGGCATATAAAAATAGAAATAATATCTAACATCTTTAAAACACTTACAAATCTTGATCTTAACTCATCCATATTCAACCTAATTAACATAGAAGAAAATCCTAGCTCTCTATCAATCTTTTGCCCGCCTAGTCTTGAATGCCTCCACCTAACTAAGCTACGCAACCTGTCTTAATTTGTCAAAAACATGACTCTCAATGACATCCAACATTTGCTCACAAACTCTCCCTTTGCCTAATCCTCCTTTCTCACTCACAGCTTGGATGTTATTAGATTCAAATTTGTCCATGGATGAGACTCGACTTTACAGGTAGGCTAAAATGATGAGCAAGTGAGCTAGAATATATGTGTGAATGGAGAGTGAAAATTAGAGCTAGAGAGGAAGATAGAATTTATAGAATGCTTAAGAAAATTATAAATCTTATGCTAATATAGGATCCACTAGAATCGATAAGAAAAACTCCTAAGCTCTTTATCATTGTCTTTTATTATAGGGTTCTGAGGGCTACAATAAAGGCTACACAAAAATGATAAAAATAAATTACTATATGAAACACTTATACATTGCTACACATACTACTCTAGATATGTCTCATCTTCTGATTGGATGAAGGAGGGTGAGGTCAGAAAAGCTCCAACATGTTATCTCAGGGAGAGCTCATTAGTGTTGAGTAGGCAAACATGCTTTGGCAAGTCAATAAGTAAAGTGCTGAGATGAAGGGGCATGTGATCGATAGGCTTGTTGATATTGACGGTGACTTGTGTGAGAGATATTAGATCACCTAAGAAGAGAGAAGTAAGTGAGGTGTTGTTGTAGGAAGGGAGAGGCCTTAATTGAATGGTCATGACAAGATGAATCGAGTGTCCATGAATAGACACTTTTCTATACCTAAGCTTGGTGAGCTTGCATGAGAGTGAATGATTTGGGAGAGAGTGAGCGACTGAGATAGTGGTCCAAGTATGTGGTAAGTGTTGAGTTGCTAGTTTGACAAAGAATCCTCGATTCGAGTAGCATCTGTTGATCATATTAGAGGAGTTCTCTTATAGGCTCCACGTGAGTAGTGCCTCTAGGATTGTTAGGAGAGTTTTTGATGTTGGACCTCTTGAAGATGAGGTCATCTATCATGAGCTATCGTTACCTACTAGATACCTGTGGAGGCAAATGTGTGTATATATTTAGTATCATGATTCACTTAGTTCTTTGATAGGCAAGTGATGAAAGGGATAATTGAATGATATTACACACGACTACCAAACATGAAGTAGGAAAGTAAATGCAGTTATTAGCTTATTTTTATTGTAGCCTTAACAACTATGTTGATTACACATTGTTGACGATAATGTGATGACACCTCTTTATAATATAAGGGATCTATGTTGAGAGAGATTTACTCTTTTGCTTTGGTGATCAAAGAGACTACAAGCCTTAAGAGAATAAAACCTACCAAGATAAAGATAGCCTACTTTCCTGTGAGGACTTCAAAGAATATCGCCTTTAGTTAAGAATGAATACTGAGGTCAAAAAAGAAGGTGAATAAGATCTCATTGAGTAGAGAAGTCTATAGCTTCCTCTACATCGGGTAGCACTAGAGAAATGTGAACTCATTATAGCCTCTCCTATAAATAAGAGTAAGGTCGATCCCAAAACAACAATCAGGGTCATTATTGTGGTGACTATCAATGTTGAGCCTGTCGCTATTTATGATAATGTTGATCTTTATGTAAGGATTATTATGCTTATTGACATGCAACTGAAGTGGCAAGTGGCATCGGGGTGCACAGTGGTGAGACTAGAAAGGAGGTCATGTCTACTAAGGTTAACATGAGTTCTCAAGTGCTTCTACCTAGGGTAAGTATGAGGAAAAAGTCAACTTTAGGTATTTATAAATTAAATTATTATTAAATAAGGTACCATCTAGAGAACCTTTAATCTGTATTTTCTCAAGCAAGTTACTACGACAACCGCCTAACAACCAGGAAACAAAGGATTTGGAATTGTGGGTGCTTTTTTTATACTCAAGTGGGGCTGTCCTGGATGATCAGCTCTTATATATGCCTATATATATATCCATTGATGAGCTTTCGCCACTGATGACAAGAGTGATGCCTGTGGAGGAATTTAAGTTGTTGAGCCTTCGAGGGTGGTTGAACTCATAGGTATTAGCGAGTAGGCGATGAGTGCATTTGTAGAGTAGATTGATACAACAATTAGGAAGGAGGTAAAAGAGCATATCTATGAGGCATATATGGAGAAGTCCATGGGCTTATTATTATCTGACCATTCCACTGACATCTTCCCTAGCTAGGGTCAATTTTTTTTTAGGAGGTTGCTAGGTGACTAACTATCTTGGAGAAGATGATGAACATCCGAGGTGTCGACGAGTCTAACAGCTCATTAGAGGAGGAGGATATAACCTTGTAGGAGGTTATTGAGCTGAAGAAAGAGATCACCAAGCAAAATAAGAGTGGATATCCTCCCTAAGGCTAAAACAAGTTTGGCTTACTATCAGGTGAAGACATCTTACTCATCAATAGGTGGCCAATTTGTATTAAATTATTTAGTCGGGATAAAGGGGGGCTGACATAGAGATCGCGTCGAACCCCGTATGTAGGTCTTTTGAAGTAGTGAGTAGCCTTGCACCACATTTCTTTTTTTTTTTTTACTTTATTGGTGTGTTCTGTGTGTGCTCGTCGAGATTTATGTAAAAATCTATGTTTATTAATAAAATTTTATATTTGGAGGAGTTTAATATTCCCATCTTTTACGCTCTTATTATTTATAATGTGGCGAGTATTATGCATGTGATGAGTGAGACTACCTTGCTAGTACTTGAGTTCAGTCACTATGGTGAGCGATGGTATGTGTGCCCTTCGAGTGACGAGTAGAGTATATAGGAGATTTTTTATTTTTTGCATTTTTCCTTATTGATGTAGTGAGTTAATTAATATATTTTGAATCAATGTTCACTTAGATTGGTGCAAATTATTATTTTTTTGGCAAGTGGTGCTTTGGGTGAATATATATAAGATACTTATTGACAATTATTTAGTGCGGTGAGTAAGTAAGAGCCATCAAATATTGGGAGAATAATGGAGAGAGAAGGCAAGATCCATGCATTAACTGTATATGTGAGCAATGCCTCGATAGCCATATATATTACTTTTGCCTCTAAATACACGAGGTAGGCCCCTCACAAGTTTGAGCTCTACTTTCTCTTATTGTCCTCTTTTTCTCTTACTCTTGCAACTGCTTTGTTACTACCATGTCTACTTTGCAAAAGTGCACTGCGGTGTTTACCAATGTTATAATCTTCCCGCGTCACGGGCATTGATTTAGTGAGATGAATATGTCTACCATGCATATTATTTCTCACACTAATTTAGACATGTGAGTGGAGAGTAAGGATAATTATATTAACAATCCTTACAAGGATGCACTATGTGTGCCCTGTGCCCACTTCTCCTTTAAGTTGTGATTTCAATTATCTTGTGAGTTTGAGGAGGTGCTTAATTATTATGGGAGGTAGTCCCAACACATATGTTGTCAAACTCCATGACATCAATCATCTCCTTTATGTCATATATGTGCGAGCAGAAGTTGTAGTTATATATCTTCACTATGAAGACTTCTAAAGACGAGTGTGTGTAGTTCTCTCCAACAACAATGAATTTGATCATGCTATTGAATAAGGTGTAAGACCAAAGCAGCTAATAAGGTGAGTACTAAATGTATAGATCTCTATGCAATTCAAATTAATTTATTAATTATTCGTTAATGAAATTAATATTAAATAGGTAAGTTTAATATTGAATGTTGTTATATTAATATCAACAAATAAGTGACTTGATTTAGTATTAAAGCCAAATAAGATAATTCATAATGTTTTGAACAGATGCATGGATTGGAAGAATGACAGTTATAACTTGAGCC